CTTCACGTCTGCCTGCGTGCACCGAGGAAGGGGGTTAACTGCGGCTTGTTCTCCGCAGGTACGTCCCTTCTCAGGCTGATATAGCAGTCTTTGAAGCAATCGGTGCCCCACCTCCTGCAGACTTGTTTCATGCTCTTCGGTGGTACAATCATATTAAGTCGTACGAAAAGCAAAAGGCAAGGTATGGTTAAACTGCGAAGCTGGAATATATATGCGAGCTGGCCTGCAAAGCGTTGCATTTGTTTCTTCACGTTTGAACAAAACTTTTTCACTGGTGCCATGTGGCTTTTTGTATTGCTGTTGGAACAGGACCGGCTCTAGAAGCAGAGCAAACCTCTTCTGTCAGTACACTACGCTTCTCACTTAGCGTTTAGGCAACCTGATTCTGTCTCTGTTCAGTTGCTAACATTTGTGCTAAAGCTGATAAAAGCTTGAGTTTTGTTGCTGCCATTCACACAGGTTACTATGCTGAAAGCTGGAAATCACCAGTAATTGACCCCATAAAGGCAGCAGCGAAGTGGATTAGAAAGTATTATAGGAGTCTTTAAAGATAAATATACAGTATGTAGATGATAAATGAGGAAAGTGGTTCATTCAGGTCATTAGTCCTGGAAGATAAAACAAAATCAGTAATTTGCAATGCAGAAGCACATATAAAGAAGGGGAAATATGAAAGCAAATGTTATCTTTTTTCTTTTTTAGTGATTTTAGTGTTCATGAAAGGTGCTGTATTGACATCCATGGAGACTGCAGGCTTCTCTAAAAAGGTACAGCATAGGTAGTGTCAGTATTGCTACACTGCCTCCTCTATGTGCCTCAGTCCTGTTTGGAGGGAACTCTTGGAGAGCTGGGTGGCTCAGTAACCAGTCTGCTTCTGAAGCTCCTAAAATGCTAAAGGGGGACTGAGGTTATAAAGCTGCTTCACTGAGTTCACTCTGTGGAAGCTACTTCTAGGTCCTGAACTACAGCCAGTTTTATGACTCGTAACAGCAGTTTATAGTAAAACAGTAGTAAAACATTAGAACTACACGCTTATTCTAAGACTGTAGAACTGTGAGCTATAGGAGAATTAATTCACGGGGTTCTGGTCCCTCACGTGCTGTTGAGACCTATCTTTCGGAGTAGGGCATTCACTGACACTTCTGAAGTCACAGGATCAGTCAGCCTGCAACTACGTGCTTTCTGTCACTATTAGTTTTTAAACAAATGAAAATATTTTGGGGAAGCGTGAACAACAAGAAGTTGATGACTCTTCTTCCTACAGAGAATATAACGCAGATAAATGATTCCAATAGGAAAGCTTTTTCTAGCTGTATATGTAGGTGGAGCAGCAATGTTTGGCAGGATCATGTCAGCTTAGATTAACAATCTTTGAATGTGGGATTTGCTGTAGTCTCAACTAGCATGTCAGGAGAACTGGGGATTTGCTTTGGGGAGGTTCTATTTTCAAGTAGCAGAATTAGATTTTTTTTTTTAGCACAGCATGTTTATTATGAATGCACTTGTAGGTTCATTGGCAAATTGGCGATATTTGTATTAACATTTGAGTAGGTTTCTAATGTCTACTGTTCTCTTTCAGCCTTCCAGGAGTAAAGAAGGCTTTGGGGAAATACGGTCCTGCTGATGTTGAGGACACAACAGGTGCAGCCACAGATAGCAAAGATGATGATGACATTGATCTTTTTGGATCTGATGATGAGGAGGTACTTGTGACCTTTTTGTATTATATTTGGGTTTTCTAGAAAAACCCAGATATGCAGATTTTTGCTTTAACTAGTTTAAGTTACTTAAATTTGTGACCTTGGTACCAGATCCTGCTTGGAATTCTTAGATTCAGTTGTCTTTGCAGAATAGAGAAGCTTGGAAGGTAAAATCTCAGTTAGAAAGGAATGTGTTGCAATGGGTGAACCGCCTGCTTTAACTTTGACTGGTTACATGATGAATAAAACAAAAAATCACCATCTTTCGGCTGACAGTTGTGATGCTTTGTTTTTGCCTGAGTAGATGCCAGTCAATTTGGTAATGCTTTAAAACATGCAGGGCTTTGGTGCTTTTCTGTAACTTCAGATTTCTCTTTCAGGAAAGCGAAGAAGCAAAGAAACTGAGGGAAGAACGCCTGGCCCAATACGAATCAAAGAAGTCCAAAAGTATGTCTGCCAAGAACTTATCTTTTATGCTTGGTTTGATTTTCATGCATTTGAGCAGGATGGCTAGAAACACTAATTAGCTGTGATAGATAAACTTGACTGGAATGAGATGGGACTAATTAGCTTCACTCAAATTGCCTGTGAGCTTAGTCTTTCCTATAGTAAATGGGAACCCTAACAGTTTTTGTCCTGCTTAATATACTCTTGTCTGTCTTACTCAGAGGTTGAGCTTTCTATATAAATGGAGATAACCCGAGGGTTTTCTTTGAACCTTTACAGAAAGGCTGCAATACGAAGTCCCCCCACAGCTACTGGTCTGGAACTGTTCAGAACTGTAGCAGTTGCAGTATTCCCTCTGTGGAAGATAAACTGTTACATGGTATTAAGCTCCTTCTCAGATCCTCTGGAAAGGACTCCCTATGTAACGAACATGGTAGCTTCTTAATCTATGTTTCTTTGAGACTATTTCTCAGGAACATAGGTGTCTACATCTTGAACATTGGGATATGCATAGCTTAAATACCTTTGAAATGTATGTTGGTACAAGAGGCGTGTCACAGCTATGTGAGGAGATTCTTGTTGATGAAATGGGAAAAATTGTTCTTGTAAAGCTAGTTTGCAAGTATATTCATGAGGGTATTTTAAAATGTCCTAGGTTTAAATGGTGATTTTTCTTCCCCCAGAACCAGCTGTTGTTGCCAAATCATCAATCTTGCTTGATGTGAAACCTTGGGATGATGAGACAGACATGGCCAAACTAGAGGAGTGCGTTCGAAGCATTCAAGCAGATGGCTTGGTCTGGGGATCTTGTAAGTAGGAGAAAACTTCAAAGCAGGGAGAGGGAGGTAGTGTGGTCTCTTAAGATAGTGTATGACTAGGTAGGCTTGGGGTCACTGCTGATCTGTGAAAATGTGGGTAGCCAAAACAGTGTGGGCATTACAGTGCTAGAGTACTTTGGTATCTTGACATAGTGAAAAAGGCATGTTAGTGCAGCAGCCAGCTTAAGATTCAAATACAGGTTTTAAAAGCTTTAAAGCTTTGGCTCTGCTATCCAGCATCTCACTGTACGGTTCCTCATGCAACAAGCAAGTATCCACACTCCCACGTCACTGGTTGGGGATGGAGGGGGAACACCCAAAACCTAAACCCTTTTTGACTCTTTTTATGAATGCTGTGGTGTTGATTAGGCAGTCTGTAATAGGAAACAAATTTTTTTTTAATGTATTCCTGCAAACTACTTCCGTCATTTCAGTCTTAGGTCTGCATTTTTAAGAGATTCCACCAATCAAGGGATACTAAATGCTCTTTGCCTTTTTTTTTTTTTGCAGCCAAGCTAGTACCAGTTGGTTATGGTATCAAAAAGCTTCAGATCCAGTGTGTTGTTGAAGATGATAAAGTTGGAACAGATATGCTGGAAGAGAGAATAACAGCTTTTGAAGATTATGTACAATCAATGGACGTAGCTGCTTTCAATAAGATTTAAGTCTTGATATATCTAGAATAAACGTCATTGCAAAAATTTGTCTGTGGTTAATTCAAGATCGTGGTATAGTCAAAGTTATAAATGTAAAAATTTGGTTATGGGTAAAGTGGAAGCTAAAAATTTCAAGGTTGCTCCAACACCCCACTGTAGTACCCAAGAGTAAGTGCAGAGGAAATAGAAAATTTACATTTACCATCGATCCAGATTTAACATTTACATGGCTTTAAAAATCTGAAATGCTCTTGGCTCCATTTTTTGGGGGAAGTTGCATCTTTGGAAATTTCTGCAATACCTCTGTAAGGAGGGATGGCACAGGGAAAAGCACAGGGCTCAGTCAAAGTACAAGTAACTTTTTTTAGCTGATAAACAGTATTATATAAATTCCTTTTGTTTAGTAAGGATGGCGACTAACCAAATACACTGTGGCTTTTGTTGAAAGCTGAAACTCACCACTCCCTCAGTGAAGCTGACAGGATGTACAGTGGAACAGACTTTATCCTACCTGCAACTACCGTAGTACCTTCTCTCTTTTTGAGTGGGGTGGGAGCTCTCTTCTTCCAAGGTGTGAAAGCATTTGGAGTGATATTACTTAAAATTTCGCATTTTTTCCGGGGCTTCCTGATAAATACAGCAAATCAAGGTGTTGATAAAAGCTGCTGCTTCGTGTTCTAAGGTCCTTGTGCGTCCTGCACCCCACCCAGCCCGGGCAGGCCGGGGTTAGCCCGGGCAGCGGGGCTGGGCGGCTTGGAAGGCGCTATGAGCTCAAAGGCGACTAGGGGGCAGCGCCCCCCGCCGCAGGCGCTCGGAGGCACCGGCTGTTGGCCCCAGCGCCGTGGGCTGAGCACCGGCGGGGTGCACCGGCCGCGGGCCACAGCTAGTGCCGGTGGATAATGTACTTCTATAATAAACCAGAAGCATGCGCCAGGCTAAAAACAACAAAAAAATACGTGTTCAATTAAAACGCAAAGGTGCAGTAGCATAACTAACACCAGTTTGAGCTGCTTACTTGGCTCCAGATTGGTTTCTAGATTGATTTTGACATTTTTTAAGAGATTGAAGAACCTACCGGAACTAAATTGTTACCTGAAAACTATCCCTAGGAATGATACAAATGTAAAAGCTGTCAAAGTTGTGAATCTTCTGCACAAATTCACACTTCTAGCCCTTCTGTGGTATGGAGAGAGAGAATTTATTGTGACCATGAAATGGAAGTCTTCTGTGTGCTACATTGGTCACTCTGAGTTGAAGACGTTCAGTGCCAAAGCCTGACAGCAGCAGCTAAAATAATGCTTTTTGCTCTTTTTTTCACAGAGCATCTGTGTGTGGTTATCTGGCACAGCAGGTCCTCTTTCTCTTTGTTTAAAGGCCTGCCAACTTCAGATTATGTAAGAGCTTTGTTTTATAATTTGTGGCGAGGGGGGGCGACGGGGACAGACACACAGGACAACAATCTGCCTGGCAGAGGTTTAACGCATGATTAAAAATTGAAAGTAAGTACAATTACAGACTTTGTTCCCACCTACCGTAAACTTGACTCCTAAAGGACTAGCTTCATCCTCTGTGTAATTAATGAGCAGTACCTTTCCCTGGCAATTCTCTACCCGTTGCTTCTGCTAAATCATACAGCTTAGTTTTTAGCTGTTCTGTCAGGGTGCTATCAAAAGCAAGGAATTAGCAAATGCCACATCAGAAAAAAAATAAATAAAAATTCTCCCACAAAAATGTAATTTTTATTATCCTTGGCCATCACTGTTTCTGACCTCACATTCAGCGTGCTTCTTACCTTTATGCTCTTTCCTTGACCTTGAAATTAAAGCTCTAAGTGGACAAAATGGTTGATTTACAGACTGTAACTTTGCTAAAATACAGCACTATGAGCCATCCACCTGACCTGCCAGACTGGATTTTTGTGTGTGCTTCATTTATGCTGAGTATGCATGTACAAACTCTTCAGTTGTTTGGATTTCCCTGGTGTTTTTTTTTCCCCCCGATGTTAGAAGGAAACTTGCTGCACAGGAACAAAACAAAAAAAGCTAGAGAGCACAGTCTCCTCAGTTACAAAATAGATAGGCATGTGGGCAAGAGAATTCCACAGAATCCACATATACCTACATTCCGGGGTTTTCTGTAGTGTTTGGGTATGTGTTGGTATATTACTGTGTCATTGTGCCTGCGAAAAAACAGCGTCTTAGAGTCAATGGGACACTTCTATGCCAAGTGCACCCCATAACAGAAAGACCAGCGGAAAATTCTGTAACTTAAATATGTGATATATAGGAATACTGGGAAAACAGTTTCAACAAAACCATTGGTTACAAACAAATGTACCTAACACCCTTCAGAAGTACAAACTGTTCCGGAAGCACGTAAGAGTAAGTAACCAGAACCTGTCTATTATGAAACGTATCAATAGCTATTATTCTTGAAAGAATGGTTGATCATAGAGCTGTTTCCTACAAAGTGTTTTTCTAGAGTATCTTTTAGCATGATCAGATAGATTTCCTTCGTCTGGCTTTTTTCCCACTGTGGTGGGCTGAATGAAGATTCCTCGGTCCAAGCAGTGTAGAACTGTTGGTATTGTTTTGGACACTCTTTGGAAAGAGACACTTAGAGTATTATCCATTTTGTTTAGGTATCTTCCATTATTCTTGCAGAAATGATTTGGAGATAATTCTGTGACTGATCTTGGTGTGAATGAGGCAGTAGTTACATTGCAAAATTGCTAATCCACTGAATTCCATAGACCAGGGCTGACTTTGGCCTTGCTAAATTCTATTCTGTATCTCTGTTGTCTACTTCAGGGGAGGCTTTCTGATAATTTATGCAAGACAGCATATGTATGTTCCCCCATTTGAAAAATCAGTCTCTCTACTGCAGATAGCAGTATGTGTGCTCATATAGCTGACATGCAAGAGGAAAGCTGACATAAACCTTCTATTCCTGTAGTAGAAAGGGTCAGGGCTTGCTTTCACCTTCCAAAATCTTTGGGAAGGAGCTGTTCTAAGAATGGACAGTAACTGCATGTTGCTGCTGAGAAAAGCAAATGAACATACTCTTTGGAAAAAACAACATTTTATTACTTCACTTGGAGTACAGTCAGAAGAGTAGTACTAATACATCATTCTTAGAGAGATGTCAGGGAACATGTGAAGAAAAACTGCAAAATGTTTGATTTAGGCACATTCAGCAGCACTGTGCCAAAATATTATCATGAGTCACTATGTACCAGGCAGCACATGACTCAAAGGAAGAGTGCTGCTCACCAACTTTCCAGCCCAAAGTGGAACACATTGAAATTCCACTGATCCTTCCTGTCTCTCCCAAACTCTGAAACCAGAGCCCAAAGGAACAGTCTGATCACAGTCTGACTGTTTCTATTTGCACAGCTACCAATACTGGATGTGCTAATGCATGCATATATATATACACACATATATATTTATACAAAAGCAAATGTATTTACATATAAGGCCTCAATTACAGTATAAATGCTACTTATTTGTGTTGGCAGGCTATAGAAACTATGTAGATTACCTGAAAGGCACTTTTATTTTATATACCTAGGCCAATAACAAGAAAAAATGGTTCAAATTCACCTAAAGCTTTATGCTTTTACTTTTAGTGGAGTTTTACCCCACATTCAAATTTTTAATTAAGTGGTATTGTATCAGAAATTAGTCCACTCCACTTGGCGTGTATGTTTGCATTGGTACATGTGTGATTCCACAGCAAGCAACAAGTTGGAATAGAACACAGCATAACTGGGACTGCTTTATCTTTCTTTTGGGAGTAGACTCCCATTTCCTGGATGTACTGTCTTGCCTCTTAGTTGGCAAAGTCATCCAAATTTGGCCACAGACTTGTAACAGAATATTGTTGAATTCACACTGCCCATTTTTTGAAGATTGGCATTAAGGAAAACAAAATTTTATATTATTTCTTTACCTTTGTTTGACAGAGCAATAAAGAGCAGGCGATAGTTGCAAACCTCTTTGAACCTGAAATTTTAAACATAGAAAAAGAAGTGTGGCAGGGGGCCTTTAATCTCAGCTTCTGTAAGAAACATTTTCACTCATTCTTTGCACATTTCAAATGAGCCTAATAGCTATATCAAACACCTGCTCAGTATTTTGCACCCAACTGATGCTAAAAGCACAAGTGACCAGGAAACATGGGATCTCCTGTCTTAGTTTTGAGTATAAGATAAAAAGCACTGGCAGAAAACAGATTTTATTTCCGTATTTTTCTTTTTTTATGAGAAAAGGCAGCAGTTCAGTGTTCTCTGTCTTGAGATTCTTCTCCAAGTGCAGAGTGGAACCACCAATAGCTTCACTTAGCTGGGATGTAGCCAGGTGTTTCCTACTTGAGGCAATATTAGACAATCAGGAGACTCATGACCCATTGATGTATGGCCATAACCTCTTGGATGAGAACGCCTTGATCAAGAGTGCTATCAGCAATGGCAAGGAGGAATATTTTTATTATGTGCTCTTTTGATATCAATGAGGTATGGCACCACAACAAAACAACAGAATTATGACAACATTTCTGATCAAAAACCCAGTTAGAGCAATTCCACTTATGCTGACAACTTTTCAGTTCAGGCTGAGTGTGCAAGTACACCACACCCAAACGATGTGTCCTTTAAAAACCTTTCAAGGGGAGTAGCAAGTGCAATTAAGCCAGCTGTTTACATAAAACTATATGCAAAGATGCACATCTGACTGGCAGATGTGAAGTCAAGAACACTTCCAAATCTCCTGTCAGCTGTTTTGGAGAGGAGTTGTGACAAGAGCAGTCACTGAGCAGTTTCACAATAGTGCACAGGCGCATGGGTGTTGTCCGAGCTCCACAGCTGCTCGCTGACAGTTCCTGAGCGGCTCACCTCCCACAGTGCCAATTTTAGCACCTCAGAGACTGTTGTCTTGACCTGGGCCTGGAACTTTTTGCTAATCAGAACGTAGAGGATTGGATTGAGGCAACTGTTGATGAAACCAAGGCCAGTGGAGAGGGGAATGCCATCCTGCAGTAAGTCA